CGAATTATTTATCAAAAAGTAATCAAGAACTATCACCTAGAGGGTATCCTGCGACACACTTAAGCTCAAGCTGTAAGAGAAAATTCTAATTAGTATTCTGTCTTTTTTTAAGACAAAAATTTTTGAGGCAAACTACCCAAAAAGAAGGTTGTAAAAAAATGAATCCGCCTCAACAATATAGAACTTATCTACAACTATTTGGTAGTATTATTAACTATTTTTTTGTCAAAATGGACTTCGATAGTTGCAACCATTCATTTAGTAATTATTCGATAGTCGACATCATTCGATAGTGCCCATCACAGTTAAGTCGCAATATCTGGAAAAAATGTTTTATCTGCACTTCAATAAAATGCTTCGATGATCGCATTTTGCTAACCCGATAAATTTTGCACATTTCAGCGACACCAACACCATGATCGAGTGCGTGCCGTTCTCAAATCTGGGCAAAATCCAGCCCTTCCTCGTCTCACTCCATACAAATGCCGCGCTGCTGATGGACTTCCACTGCCATCTCACCAAGTCGGAAGTATCCGGCTATTTGGCTGGCCACTGGGAGGTGAACTCGCATAGTAAGTCCTCCATTGTTCGTCTCCAGCCGCTCTAAACTTCTTCCGTCTAGATCTGCAGATCACCCATGCGTTTCCCTGCCGCAACACTAAGGCAGACCGATCAAATGCGGCGCAAGTAGAATCGGAAATAGCGCGAACTATCGAAAAGGACAAGCTCACTTTGGTGGGTTGGTATCATTCGCATCCGTTTGCTGCTGCGGCGCCCACTTTGAGAGACGTGGACGCCCAGCTGGAGTACCAGATCAAAATGAGAGGAACCCACGACAACAGCTATACACCTTGTATAGGAATTATCATTTGTAAGTTACTTTCAGTCGATGGAGATTGGGGCGCTTTTCCAGCTCGGGGGGTGTTTGCTTTGCAGCTCCTTACAACTATGAGAATGTCAGCTTGGAGTCCTCAATTATGGCCTACTGGGTCATTCCGCCGCCGGAGACTAAGCCCAATGAGTACGGCCGCCCCATGCTGATGTCATACAGTGTGGTGCAAGATTCCGCGCTCTACCAGCCCGTTAAGGAGGAGTTAACCAAGTGCGTGGAATACTACCAGAAGGAGGCCGACTTTATCAGCTTCAGCGACAAATTCGTGGGCACCACCCTGTATATAGACAAACTGAAAAACACGCTCATTTCGAAATTTCCACGAGATGAGAGTGAGGGCGATGTTTGGAGATTCGTGAGGGAGTGCCTGAAGTGTTTAGTGGAGGAGAAAGATCAGATGGCATCGGGGTCCAAACCCGCCCATATGCTGGCTGGGCTGACGCCTCCTGTTAGTCTCAATTCGGGCCTCGGCATGCTTTCCTCGGATATTTCCAGCTTGCTTTTCAACGCGGGAAAATACTCGTCGCCCAGCAGTCTGCTGGGGCTGCCCGATCCGATGGCGGACACCACTCTGGCCGCGAACAACATGTTCCTGCAAACGAATCTCTTCAAAATGCAGGAACTGCTCAAGCCCTTTTCTCCCACCGGATCTTCGCAGTCCAGCTCCAAGTCCTCAAAGTCTGAGCAAAAGGCGCCGAAGGCGCCCAAAGATTCCGGCCTGGCCAAAGCCTCGGACTTCTCAATGGACTTGATGCACTTCAAGGACAAAATGAACTTTCTTTCGCCCGACTTGAATATGCTGCGAAAAGACTTGTCGACTGAATATCTGGCCAGTCTGAGCAAGGCCAGCAAACACCCGGAAAGTTACATGCCGAAAATGAACGCCATCAAGTCCTGCTCGAGTCTGATCAATGACTATATGATGAACGTGGGCAAACCGTCGCCTAACGCTGAAGACGACCGGCCTACCAAAATGCCCAAAATGGACTATTTGAGCAGTATGCTGGACTTGAGCTACCCGAAGACTTCTGTGGGCGCGGCCAGCACCAGTGCGGCTTCGGACACGGCCAGCGATGCTCCTACTGATCTGAGCATACCCGATAATGCTCCTAGTGAAAACATGGAGGTTGACGGTCCACTCAACTTAACCGGGGACTGATTTACTTTAGTAATCCTGCTTAGTATTAAATTATCAATACTCTTATCGCCGTTAGGCCAAATGGACGAAGGCTGTTTGGGCTTCGCTTGCGTTGGATCTCAGTCAGTATAATTAGGGCCCTTTGTATATTGTTTTATTTTTTTATTGTATGTTTTATACTTGGCTTTTACCTTGGATGTACTGTATACATATGTCTCAGTAGAGCTTTAACTGCTGTTTTTTTACCTTTTCCCTTTGTAATTAAAATTTGGATTTTTTATTGCGAAATCCTCCAATAGATAGTTGCAAAAAGCCATGTAGCATTTTTTTTTAAATGTGCCCTTAATCGTCATCATCACATTAATCCAGCTTCTGAGCGTTCTCGACAGATGGAGCCTAGTCGATTTGGCTCAAATGCGACTTATTTCACCAATTTCTGGCTATTATTGTCATAAAATGCTACTGACAAAGTATTGAATTACTTTGGAAGACCTTCCTTTTGCCTAATTTCGGAGAAGAATGAGCGACATTTTATATCTTAGGCCACGCTTCTTTAGACAGTGCCAAATAAATCCTCCGCATCGAGGTTCCATGGTGTAATGGTTAGCACTCTGGACTTTGAATCCAGCGATCCGAGTTCAAATCTCGGTGGAACCTAACTTTTTTTTACTATTGCACGATTTCCCCAGTAAGCCATACAATTTAATTAATTTAATAATTTGGTAATTGTTTACGAAATCCGGGAATCTTAACTTCTTATGACCTGATACGCACTTCAAAATATTGGTATCTGTTAAGTCAGGTTGCCAAATTTCCGTCAAAGTACCAAAACTTTCTCTGTCTAAAAAAATGCACATAAACTCACACGCACTATTATTTGCGATACCATTGTCCAGAAATATGCTCGAATTCATGAAACCAAACATTTGGCAAATGCGCAATTTTTTCGACTCGCTGTGGTTGACATCGAAGACCTCAAGAGTGAATGGGAAAAAACCGATAAAAAACGACATTTTCTCGAACAATCTGCAGGCAGAAAAGCTACTTCTAATATCATTTTCTATTGGAGAGCAAAACCCCATAAATTCACTTGACCAATAAGCGCACTTGACTAAATTATTGATATACAAGGGTGTAACAACTTTTGTGCTACACCCAGTACAATTCTAATGCTGAAGTCTCTGATTGTTTGCACGCACTGATTCACCTTCGTTTAACTGTGTTTAGCCACTTCAAATAAACTAAAAAAATTCCTAAATTCAGACCACTTGATGATGGAAAAACAAGGGAATAGTGTGACTGGTCGGAAAACGCTCCTTTGTCCGAACAAGTGGCGCTTCATTCATTTGCTGATATCACTGACGATTGTTTACAGTTATCGGAACAGATCTCAATTGGAAATACGAAAAATTAACTATATAAAACGATTTGCTAAGTTGATTAAACAGAGTTGATGATGAACGCTCACGTAGTATCTGTGGTCGTTGTGGTGGCACTATTTTCCTCTTCGGGGATACTTGGCAAGGTATACCAGTGGTAACCATCCAATTACCCACACTAATTAGCCCTTTAAAGACATTCCCTAGAAAAGAAGCGTCTCCACTCCAAGACAATCCTCTGGTGGAAATTGCTGATGGGGCCATTGTAGGCACTAGCAATGTGACTGATAAAGGAACGCGCTATGTAGCCTTTAGAGGCATTCCCTACGCGGAACCTCCTGTTGGAGAACTGCGGTTTACGGTAGGGACTTTGCAGGAGAGTAATTATTATGTCGTAACCTCCTGGGGACTGTATTTGCAGGCTCCAGTAAAAAAAGGGAACTGGACCGGCACATGGGACGCCACTGCTGACGCCTCCATCTGCATCCAAGGCTCAGGAGATACTGTAACGGGCTCGGAGGATTGTCTTTACATCAACGTCTATGCTCCGGAGGTACACCATTCCGATGAAAACCCTTAAGGAGCAATTAGAACTCTTTTCTGTCCAGAAAGCGGAAAACTTGGCAGTCCTGGTCTGGATCTATGGAGGAGCCTTCACGGGGGGCGACTCCACTTACGAGTCCTACGCCCCAGACTTTTTCCTGGACGACAACGTCGTTTTCGTCTCCTTCAACTACCGTTTGGGGGCCTTCGGGTTTCTGAGCACGGAGGACAAACTAGCCTCTGGCAATTGGGCCCTAAAGGACCAGGTGCTGGCTCTGAAATGGGTCAAGGACAACGTCGCGGCCTTTGGAGGAGACGCCAATCGCATAACGATTTTCGGCGAAAGTGCTGGAGGCGCCTCAGTCTCGTATTTGGTGCAAATTCCCCAGGCTGAAGGTAAAAACTGGCCGGAAATTAACGCACAGAACCTTGATGGTTAGTTGGCAGGACTCTTCAATGCCGCCATCATCCAGAGCGGCAACTCCGAGAACCTCTGGGCGCTCAGCACCAGGGCGAGACAGGCGGCCTTTCAAGTGGGAAGCAACTTGGGAATTGTGGCATTTCGATCCAGCACTCTCCTCAAAAGTTTGCGGAAGGCGGATGCTTATGAGATACAAACGGCTGCAAGCAGCGCTTTGACAAAGGTAGGCAAACGATTGTAGGGACAGTATGAGCCAAACCGAGTCCTGGAAACTTTCTATTGAGTGGCTCCTTAGGAGCAGCGCCATGTTTCTCATGCTTATTTTGGCCTGTAGATCGCAGCTAGCAATCCGCTTCGAGGTCTCCCATTTGCCCCGGTAATTGAGGTGGAGAGCAATGGGGCGGTTTTTACGAAAAACAGCGACGACTACCTCAAAAGCGGCCAGTACCCCAGCAAAGTCCCCATCATGATTGGCCACACTAGTAACGAATCTGGCCACGCCCATGGACTTCCTGGTTCGTCTGCTTTATCTTCAAACTGCTCCAGTAGTTAACGTTTTGTGCTTCGCAGAACTTCTTCGCAACTATCTGCTTCTCTTCAACGTGGCCGAAAGCTACTTGGCTCCCTACAGCCTGACTACCAGTGCCATATACAGATCTCTAGCAGCAAAGAGAATCCGGCTGACTTACTTCGGGTTCGCCTCTTTAACCAGGAAGTTCTACGAAGTGGTAAACGTGAGTATGTCAAGGGCTTTGGGTAGGAAAACCACTGGCAATATAGATTTTCAGTTTGTCAACGTCGACCAGTTTACCAGAGGGATTAGGAGGTTTGCTGAAAACGTCAGTCCCTACGTTCCAGTTTACTTCTACGTATTCGGCTACATGGGGCAAATAGTTGGAGTAAATCCCTTCGATGGTAAGTGCAGCGCTGTACTAGTGGGGGATGGTGAAATAGGGTTCGCCTTCCAGGCGCTGGGCATGCTGAGGAGTTGTTCTACTTGTTCAAACAACCTGGGGAATACAGTGAGAAGGACTTGGTGGTCAAGGACAAGCTAGTGAGGCTATGGACCAACTTTGCCAAAGAATTGTAGGTGTTGCTCGGCTATGTTCTGTATTAAAATAGGTTAAAACTGGGGGTTTTCAGCAACCCGACTCCCAGGGAGGAATCGCTACTGGATGGCGTGATTTGGCCGCAGCTGAACTCCACTAGCTCAGACCTGGAATATGTGTGGCTCAACTCCACTCTATCCAAGGCCTTGAACCCGGATGAAAAAGAGTATCGATTCTACGAGGATATTTTCAAAAATTATGGAGACAGCAGTTTCTCCACATACTAAATAACGATCAAATGAGTGATAAATAAACAATCAAACTACTAATGATATTTCAATGCCAAGCGACATTACACTCTGAAAAATGCCTTCAACCTTGCCCAACTTCGTGCCAATTCGTTGATGCGACTCCAGTCAATTAGGGTGGCCTTCAAGAGTTCTATTTAAAGCATACTAGAAAATCATGCTTTCGTTTTTCCAGATGTTCAACTCGACTAGATAATTATTTAGATAAGCACACAGTGATGATCAAATTATCAGCAGTCATCTAAGCTTCAAGCTTCTGGAAAACAAATAGAAATAATCCGGTCTATTTGAGTCGTAAATTAATGAGATAAGTCCTTGATTTTGACTGATAAGCCGCTACAATCAAGTTTGCAAAACATGGTTTTGCTTCTGATATAACGAGTGTTGCTTAAGGGTGGGCCATAATCGGGACAATCAACCAATCACTTTTTACTACTGAATCTGCAAGGAGAAGGTAGTCCAGCTTAGCTCACACTGTAGAATGGACATCCAGCCCACCGGATTTAGACTCCATCAACTTATCCCGTTGGCTTAAAAACTGATCGAATGAATTAGCATTTTTGCATGTTTACGCGCCACATTTCGGGCGAATAACCTTCTTCTTGTTTTCTATCTGCCTACAATTTGAAGCAGATCAATCAATCCTTAGGCTCAAACAACACCTGTTTCTTCCATCCGACCAATACACATCGATCATTCGCACAAAGGTCTTAATCTGCAATATTGTTCAGCTTGATAGCTGCGACTTGTCTTTGTTGGTGTTTACCCAATCGTCATCAGATGATCAATGAATTATGATGATGATCGTTAATCTGCTGGAGATTAGCGAGATTTATACGAGGCTTTATGTAGGGCTGCGCCAGAACGATTCTACAGTGCAAGATGTTAGGTCACGTAGTGACTGTGGTAATTGTTGCAGCAGTTTTGCCCATTTTGGGCACAATAGGCAAGGTAACCCTACCAACATCTACTCAAACAACAGCTTTAACCTCGCCCTGTTCCATGGATGGTTTCTTCAATATCCATCGTTTCCCCGATGGTGTCATTTCTGATTTGATCATTGCTTTCTCTTCTCATTGTGTCCATTTCAACTGCCTCTAATCATTCTTTACATTCCCCCCCTAAAACTTCAATGCTTCCCTCCAAACTACCATCTTCATAAATTGATCAAAGGCTACAACGAGCACCAAAAACTCCGATTTAACTCCCCTTTCAGACAATACCGGAGGATGGGGAGCCGTATTTGCCGCCCCACGAAGTAATAGCGCATATTGCCGATGGCGACATTCTTGGAACCAATGGTGTAACAGACCGCGGTACCGATTATGTGGCATTTAGAGGCATCCCGTATGCGCAACCGCCAGTTGGGGAGCTGAGATTTGCGGTTTGCCTATTAAAAGACGCCATGTTGGGCCACCGTGTATATTCCATGTTGCGTTTTTAGGCCCCCGTCAGAAATTCGCCTTGGTCCGGACTCTGGGATGGCACAAAGGACGCAAGTGTGTGCATCCAGGGATCAGGAGAGAACATTCGAGGCTCAGAAGACTGTCTGTATGTAAGCGTGTATGCGCCCAAGGTACCCCTTTCCTCATTTCTGAGATAGAAATCAAGCCTTTATCTGGACTGCATCCGCAGCACGCCAAAGACCTGGCTGTCCTTGTGTGGATCTATGGAGGAGCCTTCACTGGAGGAGACTCCTCCTACGAGTCCTACGCGCCAGACTTTTTCCTGGACGACAACGTGGTGTATGTTTCCTTCAACTACCGCTTGGGAATCTTCGGATTTATGAGCACTGAAGACAATGTGGTGTCCGGGAACTGGGGACTGAAGGATCAGATCTTGGCGTTGACTTGGATCAGGGAGAACATCGCTAGATTTGGAGGAGATCCGCATCGCGTCACCATCTTCGGAGAGAGCGCTGGAGGGGCTTCAGTTTCCTACCTGCTGCAAATCCCCCAAGCTCAAGGTACTGTGCTAGGCCCACTCTCTGTATAGTTGCTCAGTGCTGATCTTTGCAGGCCTGTTCGATGCCGCCATCGTTCAGAGCGGCAACTCAGAAAACCTGTGGGCTCTATCAACTAGATCACGCCAAGCAGCCTTCCAAGTGGGCTACAATCTGGGCATTCCTGCCCTTCTGTCCAGAACTTTAGTGGAGCGTTTGCGCACCACCGATGCCGAAGTGCTTCAGAGAACCGCCACCAGTGTCTTGAGCCAGGTAATGTTCATTAAATTGCATTGTATAGAAAAACGTTTCTTTGCATGTTTTTAGGTATATATTCTGAACCCCTTGCGAGGTCTCCCTTGGGCACCCACAATTGAATCTGAAGGCCCCGATGCAGTTTTCACACATAAAAGTGACGATCACCTTCAAAAGGGGCTATTCCCCAGCAAAGTCCCCGTTATGATTGGCTACACCAGCAATGAAGCAGGCCACGCCCACGGCCTACCAGGTAAACCCGTTGGGGTAGAGACAGGGCAGTTTCCAGCTTGAAGGTTTATATGCAGAAAATCTTCGTAACTACTTGCTGTTCTTCGATGTGGCCGGAAACAACCTCGCCCCATACAGCTTGACTTCCAGAGGCACCACTAGGGGCAGGGCAGCTGCTGAAATCAGGGACCATTTCTTCGAACCAGAGGGTTTATCTTCGCAGTTCAACGAAGTAGTGAAGGTAAATCTGACCGAGGTTTAATCGCCATTGATTTCAAGTTGAAGGCTTTCTAGTTCATCAACGCCGACCAGTTCACCAGAGGCACGAGAAGAATGGCGGAAAACATCGCTCCGTTCGTTCCAGTTTACTTCTACGTCTTCGGATACATGGGGCAAATAACTGGGGAAAATCCCTACGATGGTAAGTGCAGCGCTGGAATAGTGGGGGTTGGTAGATTGCGGTTTGTCTTACAGGCGCTGGACATGCTGAGGAGCTGTTCTACTTGTTCAAACAGCCTGGAGAATACAGCCGAGAGGACCTGGTGGTCAAGGATAAACTGGTTAGGCTGTGGACCAACTTTGCCAAGTTTGCGTAAGTTGTTTGGAAAAACATCCATTTTCTCTGCTAAATGGCTGCTTGCAGCAATCCTACACCAAAGAAGGAGGCTTTGCTGGACAACGTGATTTGGCCCACAATAGACCCAAGCAGCGGCGACCTGCCCTACGTATGGCTGAACTACACCATCTCCAATGACCTCAATCCTGACCAGGAAGAGTTTACATTCTACAAGGATATTTTTGAACGTTATGGTGATGGCAGCTACACAACATATTGAAGAATAATCTCCCATTGTTGCTTTCCTTATAAAGGCTCAATAAAATATTCAATTTCGGTTTAATCTAGGCCTTTATCTTCACGCAGTAAATATCGCTTAAGGAGTTTTATTGTAGAATCCGACGCAATAGTCTGATAACAGTGATCCAACAGTATCACCTTATCAGGACCTCAAGGTAATTGGCTTGTTCAAACGCAAGCAAACAGTACAGCATGGAGGAGAAAATAGTGACGCGTGCCGATTGTGACGTGGTGATCGCCAAGTGCATCAGCAGCGACAAATTCGAGGTGGTAAACTTTAAAGTGAAGCCATTTGAAGACAAGGAGCGGGAGTATTACAAGCCGGATTGTGTGTTGGAAGTGAGCGCCAAAGTAGCCAAGGCAAAAAACATCGCCAGATTCCGCTTCTTCTTGAAGAAGTTTGCAAAGCCCGCGTCTCAATCGCCCAAAGCTTCGGAGCGCGAACTCTTCTTCTACGAGGTCCTCCTGCCGATGCTAAGTCAGGGTCTGGACGGCTACGAAACGGACTTCGTAGCGCAATACCTACATGGGAAGATTGGCCGAATGATGATCCTCGAAGACATGTCGTTGAAGTTCTTCACTTTGGCAAAAAAATCCAACCCGCATATGTTGGATCGTTTTCATCTGAGTCTGGCTCTAAAGGCCATCGCCAAGTTGCATGCCGGCTCTTTGCGCTTTGAGGGCACCCAACAAGGCTCTGCAACGCCCAAGATGTTTGATCCTAGTGCCTTGCTGTCGCAAGAGCTTTATTGGGTTAAACCTTCAACACCTCAGCCCCCAGGGCCCCTCCAATCCAGCCTCAAGGGCCTGGAAGCGTTACTCAAAGAGTTCAAATTGAAGGCCGATTTGGCCGGTCTGCTTCAGCTCACCTTTGATATCATGCGGCCTCAAACAACGTACCGCAATGTGCTGGGCCATGGCGACCTTCACACGAAGAATTTGCTGTTCAAGTACGATAAGACGAAGATACCAACAGATTGCGTGCTGTTGAACTTTGGGTTCTGCCGCTACTTTCTGCCTGCCTATGATGTGCTAACGTTGATCTTCCGCAGTACCACTCGCTTGTTTCGACAGCACTACTTTACCTATCTCATTGAGTACTACCATGACTGTCTTCACAACGAGCTGATCAAGCAAGTGAGTTTTCCTTGAGAATCTTGCTGGGACTGGGAAAAAAACCGACTTTAGCACTCTGCTAGTCAAGGCTTTCCCCCATCTTTGAGGTTTTTAAACTAACGAGCCTGTTCCTAACAGGAAGGGCTGCACATAGACCAATTCCTGCCACTCGAAGACTTCAAGCAGTCCATCAACTTCTTAATGCCGGCCATCAAGCTGCAAACTGTGCTGCACTTGGAGGACTTCGGGGCCAAGCCCGGCTTCTACAAGCTTCTGCAGAAGAACGCCGCTCTTTATGAAGAGTACTTGTACGAAGACAAATCGCCTTTTATGCTGGACTTGATCAAGAAAGACCCCATTTTCAAGGAATCGATGGGCGAGGCCTTGGAAGAACTGCTGGAGACGGTGAAATTTCCTCAAGTAAGCCGGGAGAATTGCTACGAAGTCCTCGAGACTTATTTGCAGACCACATTGTATGAGTTAAAAGGCTTTGCCTTGGCTGCGCTTGGTGATGCTGAAGAAACCTTGAGGCTAACCATGGAGGTGTCGGACGGTTCAAAGGAAGGTGCCATTGAGAAGGTGAACTATCTAGTGCAGTGCGGTGCGAACAGACTGTTTACGGTACTAAAGCATGTAGAAGAAGCTGAATAAAACGGTCCATACTTATTTATACCTATAAAGTTGCAACTTTGGTACTTAATCTGCCTGCCTGAACCACCCACTCAAGCCGATCCTGGTAAATCTAATTCAGACACCGCTTTAATTGTACGCAAGCAGATGCATTGTGTTTATTAATCAGTGGTATCGCGGTAGGTTCGAGCGTGGCGATCATTTACCCGCTGCAAATACATGATTATTTGAATAAGACCCTCATAATCTTGATTAATTCGGAGCCTAAGTGCCGCTGATTAAAGTGAAAGTTTTCCTTAGTAATGGTGAGGACATGGAGGAGAAAGCTCGTGACCAACCCGATGCGGACCGGCCGCATCCATTTGAACAGGCCGGGTTCTTTTCCAAGGTGTTCTATATGTAAGTTTCCCTATTGGAGTGTGCAAGAGACCTAATCACCAAACTGACTTCTTCACCAGATATATGTGGTCAATTTTTCGCAAAGGACTCAACCAAGACTTCCTCAGCGAAAGCGACATTTTGCCACCTCTCAGAGCGCACAGTGCCCAAACCGCCGGCGACCAATTGCAGAAGTCGTGGGACTTTGAGGTGCAAACTCATCCGCAGCCCTCCCTGTGGAGGGCCATTTGGAGAGTTTTCTGGAGCGACTTTGTTTACACCGCCCTGCTGTGGATTCTCCTGGAAACTTTCATCAAGTAATCACAAAAAACTGTCTGTCCAATCCAGTTTCGACTGGTAGGTTTGTAGAAGCTCGCAACCTATATGCATGGCCAAGTTCCTCGACTTCTACCGGCCAGAGTCCTTAATGGATCAGCAACAAGTCTACTACTACGCCGGGTTGATTGTGCTGATCCTCTTCCTCCAAGTGGTCGTAGGCCATTACTATCTGCTAACGATTCTTCAGCTGGGGCTCCGAATCCGTATAGCGGTTTCTTCGTTGGTTTACCGGAAAGCTCTCAGGCTGAACCGAGCCGCATTAGCCAAGACCACCATTGGCCAAATGGTAAACGCCCTGATTACTTGAAATCCTCCAATACTGTTTAGTTTTTAGGTCAATCTGCTCTCCAATGACGCCAGTAGGTTCGATGGAGCCACAGTACAGTTTCACTGCCTTTGGTACTGCCCCATCCAAGCAGTCATTGTGATGACGTTGTGTTACTTCCATCTGGGAGCCACTGCCATGGCTGGGGTCGTTCTTTTGGTGCTGTTCATTCCTTTTCAAAGTACCACGATAGTCTTCAGTGAGGATTAGTTGATGATTATAGTGATTTTCCAGTGTGGATGGCCAAGAAAGTGTCCTTATTCAGGCACCAAACAGCCTTGCGAACTGATGAAAGGATTCGCCTAATGAACGAAATAATCTCAGGGATTCAGGTGATTAAAATGTACACCTGGGAGAAACCCTTTGCCAAGCTGGTGGAGCTGAGCAGAAGGTAAAGGAAGATGAAGTGGCGTTTACAATGTTTACGCAAAGTGTTTCAGAAAAGAGCTTCGACAAATCCAGAACATTTCCTTCATCCGGGCCACCATTGGATCTCTAAATCAGTTTCTGAGTAGATGCGCCATTTACTTGTGTTTGGTGAGCCTTGCGTTGACTGGAAACGTGCCCACTGCCCAATACGTCTACACTCTAACAGCGTACTACACCTTGCTGCAGTATGCGATCACCATTCAGTTTCCACAAGGTCTGACCCAGTTTGCTGAAGTCAGCATTTCCATGCGCCGCTTCCACCAGTTCCTCATGTATGAGGAAGTGAGTCCTTGCAAGCAAAGCCCCGATCCAGATTTGTCTGGCACGGCAATTTCCATTGAAGGAGCTTCAGCCAAATGGCTAAAAACTCAACCCGAAAGTTGTCTGAAGAACATCAACTTCACTGCGAGCTCAGGTGAACTGGCTGCCATAGTAGGCAAGGTGGGCAGTGGGAAAAGCAGCCTTCTCCAACTGATTTTGAGGGAGCTGGACTTGGAGCAAGGCCAGTTAAGCACCAGTGGGAGAATTTCTTATGCAGCTCAGGAGCCTTGGCTGTTTATGGGGAGCCTTCGGCAAAACATACTCTTTGGGGAAGAGTTCGACGCGGATAAATACCAGAAAGTAGTGCGGGCTTGCGCTTTGGAACGGGACTTTAGTCTATTTCCCTTCGGGGACAAAACCCTGGTAGGAGAAAGAGGCGTGACTCTAAGTGGGGGCCAAAAGGCCCGAATCAGCCTAGCGCGGGCTGTCTACAAAGACGCGGACATTTACCTACTGGACGATCCTCTGTCTGCAGTAGACGCCAAGGTGGGAAGGCACATTTTCGACCAATGCATCAGCGGCTATCTGCAGGGCAAAACTGTGGTCTTAGTGACGCATCAGCTGCAATTCCTGCACAAAGTGCCCCACATCTATCTGATGGAGAATGGAAGCATTGAGGCCAAGGGGGCGTATGGGCAAGGACTCCAAGAACACCGTATTGGCGCTGATGTGGAACAGATCGGTCCCAAGGAGACAAAGGCTGGGGAGGAGCCCCCAAAGATAGAGGAGGAGAAAAGAACGCAAGGCAACATCTCATGGAAGGTCTACCGAAGTTATATTTTTGCTGGAGGACATTGGTGCAAGATAATGGCGCTCATTTTGGGATTCGTGCTTTCCCAGATGACCACCAGCTTCTCAGACTACTTCCAGTCGATTTGGTAAGAAGCAGATTAAATGCGAAATTACGAGTCATTCTGTATTCCAGTGTCGTCTTGCTTAGTTAAACTACTCTAGCCAGCATAATTCCTTCTGCTCCACCAGGGTCAATCTAGCACAGCACTCATCATCACAACCGCTTCTAACCGAACGCACCTGCCTCTACATCTACACCATTCTGATTGCGCTAACGGTCAGCATAACCCTAGGCAGAACCTTCGCCTTCTACCGCTTCACCATAAAGGCCTCGCTAAGGCTGCACAACAACATGTTCGGCAAAATCATCCAGGCCACCATGAAGTTCTTCCATTCTAACCCATGTGGGCGCATTCTGAACCGGTTTTCCAGCGATATGGGTGCCATAGATGAGCAGCTGCCGCTGATTTTTCTAGAAACCATACAGGTCCAACCGATCGCTTGCAAACAAAGCAGCTGTATCAACAGGAAATTTATTAATTTCCAGATTGCGTTTTTGGTGACTGGAAGTCTTGTGGTGATAGGAAGTTTGAATCCTTGGATGTTCCTGCCCACGGCAATAATGTTTGGGATATTCTATGTGCTGCGGATGGTGTATTTGAGGACCAGCCGGGATGTGAAGCGTTTGGAAGCCACCAGTTAGGGGATGACGGCATATTTTGGGCCTCACTCGCTAAGATTTCTGGACATTGCAGCTCGAAGCCCCATCTACTCGCACTTGAATGCCTCCTTGCAAGGCTTGACCACCATCAGGGCCTTTGGTGTTCAGGCGGCTTTCCAGAAGGAGTTCGATGGCTTCCAGGACATTAATGTGTCGGCCTGGTTTACCTTTGTAGGCTGCGCTCGCAGCTTTGGCTTGTGGCTGGACTTGCACTGTGTGGTGTTTGTTGCTTTGGTCATCATCAGCTTCCTCTTCCTGCAAACAGGTATGAGGAGAGTGGACTCCTCACAGCCTTTGAGCTAGCTGCGGAATATTGCAGAAAAACTTGCTGGCAACGTGGGGCTGGCCATCACTCAGGCCCTGACCCTTACTGGGATGTTCCAATGGGGAATGCGACAATGGAGCGAGCTGGAGAATCGCATGACCAGCGTGGAGAGAGTCCAGGAGTATGCAGATGTTCCACCAGAACCCGATGTGTCCACTGTAGAGCCCCCAAAGGCCTGGCCGGAGCATGGGGTGATTCGCTTTGAGGGCCTGTGTTTGAAGTATGACGCTGATCAAGTGCTGCAAAACTTGACTTTCCGCATTGGGAGCAAGGAGAAGGTTGGGGTGGTTGGCAGGACTGGGGCGGGCAAGTCTTCGATAATCGCCGCCCTTTTTAGGTAACCCTTCGGTAAAATCCAGCTACTTGGGTTGAAGTATTGGGGATTGTTGCAGGCTGGCATCAACAGAAGGCCACCTCTGGATAGATGGAATTGACACCAAAACCATCCCTTTGCACCGGTTAAGGTCAAGCATCTCGATAATCCCGCAGGAACCTGTGCTGTTTTCTGGAACCATCCGCAAGAATCTCGATCCCTTCGACAGCTACAGCGACGAGGCAATTCTGCTGCTGTTTTTCAAGCTTTCAGCTATACGTCGCAATATTTCCAGATCCTATGGACTGCTTTAGAGGAGGTGGAGCTCAAAGGGACGGTCTCGGAGTGGCCTTGCGGCCTGGAAACGTGCATGTCCGAAGGCGGAGCCAACCTCAGCGTCGGTCAGCGACAGCTGGTGTGCCTGGCCAGAGCGGTGTTGCGCAACAACAAGATTCTCGTCCTGGACGAAGCCACAGCTAATGTGGACTCGCATACTGACTCCCTAATCCAGGCCACGATTCGCAGAAAGTTTTCCGGCTGCACGGTGCTAACAGTGGCGCATCGTCTGCACAGTGTGGTGGACTCCGATAAGGTTCTGGTGATGGACGCTGGGCAAGGGGTGGAGTTCGCGCATCCACACGAGCTGCTGCAGAAAAAGGGGGTGTTTTACCAATTGGCCCAGCAGAGTGGCAATGTGGACGCTTTGATGGAAGCTGCTGCGCAGGTAAGGAGTTGCTGGTTGGCTTGCCTCTGATTCCAGCTAAAGTTTTCCTTTGGTGTTGCAGAGCTATGAAGGTCCTAAGGAGGATATTTCAAGCGATGGCAGTCTGATGAAGAATGCTTCGACTGTCGACTGAGTGCTGGCATGTTCTTAATATATTCTCCATTGGTACTCATTAAGTCGCGTTTGATTTTGAGGCCCTCATTGCCATACTAGGCACCTCCTGGTGCCTAGTACGCCTCTGCTTGTTCTGCTATCTGCTCGCTAAATATTTCATGTCGAAATTAGTGGATTCTTGTTAGTTGTTTAGCCTTGATCGAACGGACGCCGGCCGGCAGTTTCATTAATTATTATTAACATTCCGTCAAGTTCAAGTGAGTGCAAAGCACTGAGTTTTTTTCAACTTTCAAGGTAAATATACAGGCTGGACCAAAATGTGCGTCAATGCTGGCTCAAGTATTGAGCGAACAGTTGAGGCTCCAAATTGTGTGCGATTTATTTGCTCCTTGAAAAGAGGTTTCCACACCTGTAGATAGGCGAGCTGGCCATGAAAATGGTAGGCAATAACGAGGTGAAAGCAACGTTTGGGTTGACGGTATCTGCAACGCTCTTCCAATGAATTTCTTCATCAGGGTTCAAACCAGACGCTGTAATAATTAGATGAAAGTTCGAATAACTTTTGGTGTTAGAAAACTGTTCTATTGCCAAGGCGACAGCCGATAAGACGTGCTTTATCTAGTACTTAGGTACATAAAACCAAAATTTTCACATTAAAGTAAACAGTGCTAGAATGTGTGGAAAGCACGTGAACAAGCATCACTGCTTCTTTATTTCACTAGCACATCCTAGAGCCACTTCAAACGGCTTGAAAACCGTCCTTTATTAAACAATCCTTCTGACTCCAAAGGCTCTTTACACATCCATAATCAAGTGAAAATCCTGGGACAAAATGTTCTGACGTAAAATCGCTAATCGCTGAATATATTTGCGCTTCACCAAAGCAAATTGCTCGAATTGTACTATGTGTTTGCTTAGCTCTTAGGTTCGGCTACTCGAGAGATGGAACTTTTCAATATTGGTTTATCCGAGTATGAGATTCAAGGAGCATTCAGCTCCTATACCTAAGTATTCTTCACCTATTAAGTCCGTCAAAGCATTTTCAACTGTAAAGCGAGTGGCTACTCAATGCCAGACCCATCGGAAAATCACTAGAAATATTCGCAATTTTCCACTTTCCATTGACCGAAGAAACGTGTTGTCCTTATCAGCTGCCCACATACTTTCAGCATGTTATCGCATACCGTTTGAGTGGCTGTTCTATCACTACAGCACTTAGTGTGGATTAGTTCTTGGAAAATAAAAAAAGAGGCGCAATGGTTTCGGTTCCAGTTGGTGCCAGACAATTAGTGCGAGCGGTAGCATGAGTTCAGTTGGAAATCGGGAACTTCAGTTGCGTTACCTCTACATTGATAACAATAGTTGAGAGCCGGCCTAAGGAACGAACCGATTTCTGAAGACATGGAGAACCTGAAAGATGCGGAAGCGCGAAAGAACCGAACCACCACGAATCCTTATGCAAAAGCTGGGATTTTCAGCAAGATGACCTTTGCGTAAGTACCACGGCTCTTAGGAACAGTAACAACAGTAATTATTGTCCAATTTAATTTCCCAGTTTAATATCACAGACTTTTTACTTATTATTTTGTATCTTCGAATTGAAGCTATTGAAATAATTCAAAACGATTCGTTCACACCAACCGCTACAAGTTTGAAAAGAAGTGGTTTCGATAAAAACTCAAGAGGGTCGTTACGTGCATTCATATGTTGCAAATTATCTTTAATCTGGCAGTAATTTGTTAATTACTACTTCATTTAATGATTTCCGACGCTAATTTTACTCAGCACTCTAAGCAACGTCATCATTTATCTCCTCCTCTCAGCCATTCCACTTAACTATTCATTAATTCCTTCATTTTCAATGCTTTAAAAAAATCCTACCTCCGCCACTGAATTCGGACACGCGTTCCAATCATTACTATAGCTGACTAGTCTAGTTATAAACGCGGAAAATTACACTGCAACGAAAGCACCGGCTGACTTTTGAGAAGCTTCCAAATTTTACCCAACACGTTTAGTGCAGGAGACTAGATTTGCACCAGAAAAAATTCAAAACTTCGCTACTGAAACAACGAATTTGTAAAACCTTCTACAATATATAACTAAGCACTGCAGCTACACATCTGGAAAGTTTCCCTAAAATGCAAGCACTAGCTAATATTCGACAAGTTTTAGAAACTTTACCCAGCCGATTTAGTGTAGGAGACTCGCACTTGCATCCGAAAAAAAATCAAACCTCCGCCACTGAAGCAACCAATTTATAAAAACTCCTACAGTATATAACTAAGCACTGTAGCTACACATGTTAAAAGTTTCCCTGAAATCCAAGCACTGGCTAATATTCTACAAGTTTTCGAAACTTTACCCAGAAGATTGAGTGAAGGAGACTCGCGTTTGCATCTGAAAAAAATTCAAACCTCCGCTTCTGAAACAACGAATTTGTAAAAACTTCTACAGTAAATAGCTAAGCACTGTAGCTACATATGTTGAAAGTTTTCCCAAAATCCAAGCACTGGCTAATATTCTACAAGTTTTCTAAACTTTACCCAGCAGATTGAGAGTAAGAGACTCGCATTTGAATCCGAAAAAAAAAATCGTACCTCCGCCACTGAAGCAACCAATTTGTAAAAACTCCTACAGTATATAACTAAGCAAAACTAAGCAATGTAGCTACACATCTTAAAAGTTTCCCTAAATTCCAAGCACTGGCTAATATTCTACAAGTTTTCGAAACTTTACCCAGAAGATTGAGTGAAGGAGACTCGCGTTTGCATCTGAAAAAAATTCAAACCTCCGCTACTGAAACAACGAATYTGTAAAAACTTCTACAGTAAATAGCTAAGCACTGTAGCTACATATATTGAAAGTTTCCCCAAAATCCAAGCGCTGGCTAATATTCTACAAGTTTTCTAAACTTTACCCAGCAGATTGAGTGTAAGAGACTCGCAATTGCATCCGAAAAAATCCAAATCTCCGCTACTGAAACAACGAATTTGTAAAAACTCCTACAGTATATAGCTAACCATTGCAGCTACACATCCTGAAAGTTTCCCTAAAATCCAAGCACTGGCTAACATTCTACAAGTTTTCGAATCTTTACCCAGCAGATTTAGTGTAAGAGACTCGCATTTGCATCCGAAAAAAATTCAAACCTCCGCTACTGAAACAACGAATTTGTAAAAACTCCTACCGTATATAGGTAACCATTGCAGCTACACATCCTGAAAGTTTCCCTAAAATGCAAGCACTGGCTAATATTCTACAAGTTTTCGAAACTTTACCCAGCAGATTTAGTGTAAGAGACTCGCAATTGCATCCGAAAAAAATCCAAACCTCCGCTACTGAAGCAACGAATTTGTAAAAACTCCTACAGTATATGGCTAACCATTGCAGCTACACATCTTGAAAGTTTCCCTAAAATCCAAGCACTGGCTAACATTCTACAAGTTTTCGAAACTTTACCCAGCAGATTGAGTGTAGGAGACTCGCATTTGCATCCGAAAAACAATCAAACCTCCGCCACTGAAGCAGCCAATTTGTAAAAACTCCAACAGTATATAGCTAAGACAAGGTAGCTACACATACTGAAATTTTGGGATAAATCCATAAAGCCGCTGCTTTTTCAGAAGCTTTCAAAGTTTGCCCAGCAAAATCAAAAGACCTTCGGCCTCTACCAATTAAGGAAAATTTTCGTAGGCATTAGTGATGGGTTAAACCTCCATCAAATCTGTGATACGCGAAAGCGAGCGCTAATCACCAAGCTTTAATCAGCTGATTGTTAAAAAAGAACCAGCCATTGTTCTACTAGCACAATTGCTTTAACCATTGCGATAACCAACACATGTCTTTGGTCAACACTCGAGCATTTCGTCGTATTTGCTTGGTGCTATTAATAGCTGACTGTGGTTATCTCCATTCCAGATACCTGCTCCCATTGTTCTACAAGGGATACAGACGTGGCCTGACCGAAGACGATATCTATCCCCATTTGTCCAGCCACGACTCGAAGATACTGGGCGAAAGACTGGAAAAGCAATGGAACAAGGAGCTGAAGAACAGCAAAGACCCATCCTTATGGCGGGCGTTTGCCAAAGTGTTCGGCAGGGAGATGATGACCTACGGCTTAGGAATTTTGATGTTCGAAATGCTCAGGTTTGAAGCGCTCTTCCCCAGTCATCCACCAGAACTGCACTGAACGTGTTTCAGACTGACGCTGCCACTGTCCTTGGCCAAACTTCTCGAATACTTCAACCCCAACTCCACCACGACCTTCAACGAGGCTTGCATTTATGCAGGCATCATCGGGGGCACCACCGTAGTCCAGATCACCATCATCCATCATTCAATGTTTCACGTTTTCCATCTGGGCATGCGACTTCGGGTAGCAGCAGTAGCCTTAGTCTACAGAAAGGCCATCAGATTGAGCAAGTCGGCTCTGGCCGAGACCACTATTGGCCAGATGGTCAATTTAATATCCAATGATGTGTCTCGGTTTGAAATGTGCACTGTTAATGTCCACAATATCTGGATCGGGCCCATTCAGCTGGTGGTGCTTCTGTTTCTGCTGCTGTCCTACGCTGGATGGACTGGCTTGATTGGAGTGGGGGTGCTGCTGTGTATCATTCCGTTTCAAAGTAAGTTCCATATTGGAGGTTTGCCCAGTATATTCTACAATGTTCTGGATAGTCTGGATGGGGAAGAAGACCTCGTTGTACCGGCTGCGCACCGCCATCAAAACTGATGAGAGAATCCGGCTAATGAACGAGATCATCAGTGGAATGCAGGTGATCAAAATGTACACCTGGGAGAAGCCTTTTACCAAAATCGTGGAAATCGTGCGAAGGTACCACTCAACGCTCCATAGCCTAGCCTGATAATGCAACCTTGATAACTTTTCAGACTGGAAATGAACGAAATTCGCAAAAACTCCTTCCTCAAAGCCATCCATCTCTCCTTCAACGTCTTCCTCACTCGGACATTGATCTACAGCTGCGTGGTTGTCCATGTTCTACTAGGCAACAACGTGAATCCCCAATACATCTTTGGCCTGTCCTTGTTCTACGAACTGCTCAGGCAATGTCTAAGCCAGGCCTTTGCTCAGGGCGTAGCTCAGGTGGCGGAAGCCATCATTTCCACCAGAAGAATCAAGGAGTTTCTGCTCTACGATGAGCTGGAGCCTGAGTTCACCCTCATATCTTCAAGCGGCGACAAAAATCAGAAAAGCGGCCTTAGTGGCTCGATTTTGGTGCAGGGCTCGGTGTCGGACAGCTCACAACCCATTGGCGTGTCTTTGGAGAATGTCAGCACCAAATGGATCAAATCCCACGAAGAACTTGCGCTAAAGGGCATCGACTTTGAAGTGAATCCTGGAGAATTGGCCACCATTATCGGTAAGCTGTCCGGGATCAAATTGAGTTGATGGTAAATTAGTTGATTTTCAGGCAAAGTTGGCAGTGGCAAAACCACCCTGCTTCACGTCATCCTCAAAGAACTTGAGGTGACAGCAGGCAAGAGAAGAATAAACGGAGTGATTTCGTTTGCCTCTCAGGAGCCTTGGCTGTTCGTCGGCACTGTAAGGCAAAACATCCTCTTCGGCCAGGACTTTGACGTGGTAAAATACCACGAAGTGGTAAGAGTTTGTGCTTTACAGCGCGACCTCAAGCTCTTCCCTCATGGCGACCGCACCCTCATTGGCGAACGGGGAGTGTCATTGAGTGGCGGGCAACGAGCCAGAATCAACCTTGCCAGAGCCGTATATAAAAGCGCGGACATTTACCTACTGGACGACCCATTGTCAGCTGTAGACGCCCATGTGGGCAAGCAAATCTTCAAAGAATGCATCGACGGCTACTTAAAGGACAAATGCGTGGTGCTGGTCACGCACCAGCTCCAATACTTAAAAGACTGCAAGAAGATCTACTTGCTAAACGACGGCTCTGTGCAGCACTCGGGCACCTACGAAGATATCAAGCAAGGCGGCAAGGACTTTAAAGTCCTGCTGGAGGAGCTGAAGAAAATGGAGGAAGAGGCGAAGAAAGAGGAGGAAGTGAGGAATCGCAAGCGCACCATGTCAGCCAAGTCAGGTAGTGGCAGCCAAAGCATCAAGCTGTGTGAGTACTTGATGTGACCAAGTTTTTCAGTTGCTGAAGACAGTACTGCTCTGGAGGAACCAACTTTTGGAAAAGAGGACAAAATCGACGGCAAAGTAACATGGGGCATGTACAAATCCTATCTGCTAGCCGGCGGCAGCGCATGCAAGCTGTTCTTTATGGGTTGCGTCTTCATTTTCTCCCAAGCCCTTGCCAGCATGGTCGATTACTTCCTCAGCGTTTGGTACAACTGTCCTATCAGCTGCTAAGAGCGTTTAGCTTTAAACCCGTAAACTTCCAGGGTCAATATGGAAGAAATGAAGCAAGCGCGCAACATCACAGGCGAAGTCAATGACACCTTGATCGACAGTCTGGATGATTCCCAGTACACAGTCTTCCAGAAGTTCTGGTTCGGTTTTCTAACTGACGATGTTTGCCTGCTGATCTACACTGGACTTATGGCCGTGGTGATTCCGCTGATCGTTGGCAGAGCCATTTATTTCTTCAACTGGTTTGTCAGCGCTTCCATCAACCTGCACAACAACATGTTTTCGAAAATCGTCCATGCCCCGATGCGCTTCTTCAACCTGAACCCATCCGGGCGCATTCTGAATCGCTTCTCCAAAGACATAAACATGGTGGATGAGTATTTGCCGGTGACCCTTTCCGATACTGTTCAGGTAAACGCTTTCCAGTGGGGAGTTTTGGAGTTTATTGGCCCGAAATCTGTTGTAGATCGGCTTGATGATTGGCGCCAATATAATCGTGGTGTCCACAGTGATTCCTTTTATTCTGCTGCCTACTGGGGTGATTTTGGTCATTTTCTACCTCATACGAACAGTTTTCATCGCAACCAGTCGCGACATTAAGCGATTTGAGGCATTGAGTAAGGGTTTAGCTGATAAACCCGAAAGCAACAGGTAAAATGTTTGTGTTTCAGCTCGAAGCCCCATCTACTCGCACCTGACAGCCTCCTTGCAAGGTCTGACCACCATCAGAGCCTTTGGGGCTCAAAATATGGTCAAACAGGAGTTCGATAACTATCAAGACGCCTACAGTTCTTCCTACTTTATGTTCTTGGCTGCCAACCGATCCTTTGGCTATTGGCTGGACTTGCACACCTCGATCTTTGTCACTTTGGTGACTTTCAGCTTTGTGCTACTGAAGACTGGTGAGTTAATTTGCCAAAAAAGCAATCAAATCTGATCGATGGCGGTTTCAGATTCATATGGAGGTAGCGTGGGTTTGGCCGTCACGCAGGCGATCAACTTGGCTGGATGGTTCTCCTTCGGGATTCGACAATGGAGTGAAATGGAGAACACGATGATTTCGGTGGAGAGAATCAAGGAGTATGCGGATGTGGTGCCTGAAGCTGATGCCCAGGCTCGGGAGCCTCCAGCCAGCTGGCCGCAGAGCGGAGAGGTTAAGTTTGTAAACGTGGGGCTTCGCTATGGGGACGGTGAGCCCTACGTGCTCAAGCAGCTGAACTTCTCCATTAAAACCAACGAGAAAATTGGCATAGTGGGGAGGACGGGGGCTGGAAAGTCCTCCATTATTTCAGCCCTGTTCCGACTGGCAGATATCGATGGGCAAATCCTGATTGACAACATCGATAGCAAAACCATACCGCTGAACAAACTGAGGTCCAGCTTATCGATAATTCCGCAGGAGCCAGTGCTCTTTTCTGGAACGCTTCGCAAAAATCTGGATCCTTTTGACGAATACAACGATCAAGTAGGTTTTCCAAACCAACTCCCTCTGGTCTGTGGCCGTAACTAATCAAATTGCAGACCATTTGGAACGCTCTGGAAGAAGTCGAGCTCAAATCAGCAGTGTCCGACCTGCCGCACGGCCTGGAAAGCCACATGTCGGAAGGTGGCTCCAATTTCAGCGTAGGCCAAAGACAGTTGGTGTGCCTGGCCAGAGCGATAGTTCGCAGAAACAAAATCCTCGTTCTGGATGAAGCCACAGCCAGCGTGGATCCGCACACTGATGGCCTGATCCAGACCACGATTCGAAAGAAATTTTCAGGCTGCACTGTGCTGACGATAGCGCACAGATTGCACACGATCATGGATTCGGACAAGGTGCTGGTGATGGATGCGGGCCGCGCGATGGAATTCGATCATCCCCACAAGTTGTTGGAGGACGCAAGGGGCGTGTTCTATTCGCTGGTGCAACAGACTGGAAAGGCCATGGCTTCAAATCTGGCGGATATTGCGGCCAAAGTATGTAACAATACTGGGTTATTAAATGGATTGTGTTTTTTTTTGGGTTGTAGAACTACCAAGATTCTAGAGCAGCTGAGGATTGAGGCTGCTGTGATCACTCGAATACGCGCTCCAGTGGAGGTGCCGTCCAGAACAAACCAGGAGACTTATATTAATTATGATGTTTAATGTAATGTTAATTATAGTAATTATGATATTGATTGATAAATGCGTCTAGCAAAGTGACTGATTGTTTTTCTTGACCACTTGGATTGGCAGAGACTTTTTTGCAAATAAAATGAAACTTTGTTGTTTTTACAGTTGGTTTCGCGTTAATCGGTAGTAAAATCGCCTTTAATGTCACTGACGCTGACCCGGATTTAACTGAGAAATATTCCACTTTTGATGTCGCGTGAATAAAAATCAACTTTCAAAATACGTTAATAGAATACTCACTTTTGAAAAAGTTCATCGTCCCTGAATCCGGTTCTGCAGTAGTCTGGTACTTATAGCAAGGCCAGAAGCAATTTCAAGGCAAAATCTGAAAATAGATGATGTTTTATTGATTTACTGCCTGGCTTGCGCTTTATTGTGCTGATTTTCAGCTTTAAACGACCCGGAAGTAGAGTAGAGGAAAGTGAGAGTTTGAGTGGAAATTTGAGGTTTAACATCTGTTACCCTAAATATAACAAAAAGTAAGTGTCATCACTAGAATCTCACATGAGCACCGTACTTAAGACGTTTGAATTTACATGCTTTTTGACTGGAATTTTTTTAGCTTCGCTTTCTAGGATATTTTGGGCATTTCCCGCATCAACCTCCAGAAATTCATTCATACAAAGCACTATGAAAACAATTCAATCATCTCAAATTGTTGCCAAAAAATCTTCAAAAACTTTAACCCTCTTTTGTTGCAAGGTCACTTTCCCTAACAACTCCCCCCGATATTTGACACCAATTTTGAATCACCCTGTACATATGCAGGCATTTTCCCTGCACTTTGCACATACCCACTCATTTATGCACATATTTTGTTAGATAATATTCGTGAATGTTGGCAAACAATCAAACATAAAAGCATTTAGAAGAAGATTAAATGTTGTCCTTGATGTGAAAGCATTTTGTAATGTTGCGCCACATTAACCCAGTTGATTAAGAGCCTCAAGGCTCTTACAGGACAATAGGTTTTCACATTCAGCAGGATTTGCTAATCAACTGAGTGTAACCGGTTGAGAGTGGCAAAACACTCTCAACGTGCTTTTGTTGGTTGCTAATTCAAATCTACGCGGACCTGATAACAATACTTTCATTTGCCCAGATATCTTATTTCAACATGTTTATCGGGCAAATAGCGACAGCCTATTAAAGTACCGTTGACATTGACTGGGGTCAAAAAAGCTCACTGCTTCCTCAGACGTCTATAATCGTTGACGATGGAGAGCCAAAAGAGCACTGATCTGCTAGGGAAAAGCAAACCCCACCCTTATCGAAAGGCCAACTTTTTCTCAAGGATGTTTTTCACGTAAGTGCTCCTTTAACTTAACCCAGCAATCGTTAATCAACAGTTCGATTCAGGTGGCTGTTTCCACTGTTCTACCAAGGCTATCACAAGGATCTGTCCGAGGAGGACCTTTATCCCAGCCTCAGGCAACATGATGCGACCTTCCTGGGCAATCGCCTCTCTAGCGAATGGGAAAAACAGCTTCAAACCAAAGAACCCTCACTTTGGAGGGCGCTGTTTGCGGTGTTTGGATGCGAGATGGCTTGGTTGGCGTTGTTGCATCTGTTCATTGAGCTGGTTTGCAGGTAAGTCTACAATTGGGGGTTCCAATAGTAGAAGGCCATTGACCTTAATGGATGCCCCGGGAGTTGAAAAGTTGGATGAAAAAATTGGCGTTGATCCGGAGAGGATGCTTAAGAAGTCACTTGCTTGAAGGGTGTTAACTCCCCTCTTTGATCAAATTTTGCTGGATTTAGCACCTGAACTAAAGGGCTTGCACCGAACAGGATTATGATATGTTTTTGATAAAAAACTGCAAATTTGCATATGATTTTAACCTCTGCTCGGAAAGTTTAGGAACACGCCAATGAACCCCAGCAGCTTTTTGGCATTTTACTACTGCATTTCTTGGGCGCAGCACAATATGCAAGTCCTCCAAAAAGCCTGGACTGTTTCCCTACAATGTTTCAAGTCCCGGGTCCCATTAAAGTGAACCACCCCATTTGGAACGTTTTTCCTTTTGTAGGTAGTACGCTTTTTACGTTAGCCTCGATACGAAATCACCCGACATAAGAAACTCTGTCTGAGTTAATGCTACTCATTTAGAGCAGCACTTGCTGCTTCTCGCCTCAGACGGTTTGTATTGTAAGGTAACTCGCCAGATGGCACCAAAGGTAAACCACTAGGTTATCTTTGATACCATCAGCCTTTAGAACTATTGGCAGGCGTTTGCTGATGTGAAATGCATAATTGGTGGCTTTTAGGCTGTCGCAACCGCTAATCCTCGCCCAGCTGTTGCAGTACTACGAACCACACAGTACAATGACCAGAAGGGAGGCCTTTATATACTCCGGCCTGATGGTCGCATCGCCAGCTCTTGTTATGATATGCCAGCACAATTTCATGTACTACCAGTTTGTGATGGGGGTGAAGATAAAGATCGCCGCCACTGCTCTGGTCTACAGGAAGGCGCTGAAGCTGAGCCGATCTTCCCTAGCTGATACCAACGTGGGTCAGATGGTGAATCTGATCTCCAATGACGTTTCGAGATTCGAGTCCGCAGTCAGGCACATCCACAGTCTATGGCTGGGGCCCATTGAAATCATCATCATCATTGTGCTGCTCTACTTCTACGTTGGCCTATCTGGAATGACTGGGATCATTGTGCTGGTGCTTCTCATTCCCCTTCAAGGTATGTGCAGAATCGCATAGAAAACTCCTCGAGTTATTCATTGGTGTTTAGGTTTTTTCGGCAAAAGGATATCCAGCCTTCGGCTGAACACTGCACTAAGAACGGATGAGCGGATCAGGCTGATGAACGAGGTGATCCAGGGAATGCAAGTGATCAAAATGTACACTTGGGAGAAGCCTTTTGCCAAACTGGTGGAAATCAGTCGATGGTAACTTTGTTGCACTAAACACTTCAAATATATAATATAAAAACGCAATTTGCTTCAGGAAAGAGATGCAGCAGATCCGCAAAAACGCCACCATCAAAGCCATCGTCTACTCCTTTCAGCTCTTCACCATCAAGGTGGCCATCTACTTATGCATCGTCGTTTTCGTGCTAACAGGGAACGTGCTAAACGCCCAGTTCGTCTACGTGGTTACCTCCTTCTACACCATCTTGCGGCCGGTTGTAATCAAGCGATTTCCTGATGGAGTCACTCATGTAGCCGAAGCCCAAATCTCCGTGAGAAGAATCAAGGAATTTCTCCTACGTCAAGAGCTCGACTGGGATTCCAGCCTGATGGAAGTTGAGAAGAAGCCTGGGGATGTGGAGCAGTCAAAACCAATCACCTTGAAGGGAGTGTATGTAAAGTGGAACCAGAAGGTGGACGACTACTCGCTTCAAGACGTGAACATGGAGGTTTCGCTTGGAGAACTAGCTGTAGTCATTGGACCAGTTGGAGCTGGAAAAACCACGCTACTTCACACCATCCTACGGGAACTGCCTCCGCTTAGGGGAGCGGTGGAAATCAACGGCTCAATTTCCTACGCCTCTCAAGAGCCTTGGTTGTTCATGAGCAGCATCAGACAGAATATTGTCTTTGGGCAGCCGTTTGACGCTAGACGATATGAGGAAGTGTTGAAAGTATGCGCATTGGAGCGAGACCTAACACAGCTTCCTTATGGAGACAAAACCCTGGTTGGCGACCGTGGCATTACTTTGAGTGGAGGTCAGAAGGCCCGAGTCAACTTGGCTAGAGCGATTTACAAAGAAGCCGATATTTACCTACTGGACGATCCCCTGTCCGCTGTAGACACTCATGTGGGCAAGCACATCTTCAAAGAATGCATTCAGCAGCATTTGAAAGACAAATGCGTTGTTCTAGTCACGCACCAACTGCAGTATCTGAGAAACGCCCAGAACATATACTTGATGGATAGTGGGACCGTCCACACCTCGGGCTCATATGAAGAACTGCAAAAGTCCACGCATGATTATGCGAAATTGCTAGTAGAGCTCAGCAACAAGCCGGAGGACGACAGTGATAACTCCGAAGGCACAACGGATGATTTGAAAAAGCGACTGGCAAAGCAGGAGACCAACAGTGGACCTAAGGTGAATAAAGAGGGCCGAGCCGTAGGGAATGTTGCAGTTGGAGTCTACAGGGCCTACTTCCAGAATGGTGGCCATTGGTGCTTTGCTATGGGAATTTTCGTCCTCTTCATTGCGGCCCAAAGCATTGGCAGTCTTTTGGACTACTTTGTTTCCTGGTGGTAAGTCCTCGACGGAAAGCTAAGACTTTTCTTTCTACTAGTTACTTCCAGGGTGAATGCTGAAGCAATTAAAAAAATCCAAAAAGAGCTAGATAGTTCGAACAACACGATGTCCACCTCATTTGTCCAAGACATGTGGCTCAAGTACATGACCACTGACCTGGCGCTGATAGTCCAGGGTGTGTTGGTGCTCGCGCTCACAGTGTTTGCGATTGTTCGCTCCGTTTGCTTTGTGCGGTTTGCCTTGAAAGCCTCCACCAACCTGCACAGCCGGATGTTTGGCAAAATCGTCTACGCGAGTCTGAGATTCTTCAATCGCAACCCAGTAGGGCGGATTTTGAACCGATTTTCTAGTGACATGAACCAGGTGGATGAAACGCTGCCTTCTACTATGCTCGACTGCTTCCAGGTGAGTTTTTCTGTTCTCTATCGTTAACTGGTTTTCAATCGAGTGTTTCCAGAATGCTCTGGCCGTGATTTCCACTACAGTGGTGGTGGCAACAGTGAATCCATGGATGATCGTCCCCAGCACCATAATAATGGTGATCTTCTATGGCATGAGGGTGGTCTACATTTGCACCAGTAGGGACGTGAAGCGACTGGAAAGCACCAGTAAGTAGCAAGATTCAGTTAGGGATGGAGGTTCAATTAAGGCCTGAATTGATGCCTTTATAGCAAGAAGTCCTGTTTACTCCCATTTGGCCGCCTCCCTGCAAGGCCTGACTACCATCCGGGCCTTTGGGGCGCAAGAGGTGCTGCGCAAAGAGTTCGAGCAGCACCAGAACAGGAACAGCTCTAAGTCGATTTTGTTCATTGGAGTGGGGCGCAGCTTTGGCCTCTGGCTGGACATGGGCTGCATTCTTTACATCTTCTTCGTCACCATGAGCTTCCTGTTTGTCCAAACTGGTACTAGCAGCCACTTTGTTCACTTAGGCTTTATTCATGCTTTGGGCCTCTATTGCAGATACCCTAGGAGGATTTGTGGGGCTTTCCATCACACAATCGATGACTCTCACTGGAATGTTCCAGATGTGCATCCGACAGTGGAGCGAGCTGGAGAACTTGATGACTTGCGTGGAGCGCATCAAGGAATACGTGGACATTGTTCCTGAAAGTGACTCCGGCCACAAAGATCCTCCCAGGGATTGGCCATCATCGGGAAAAATCACCTTCAAGGACCTGAGCATGCGATATGCGGCAGAGGAGCCTACGATTCTCAAAGGCCTCACTTTCACCATCCAAGATAGGGAGAAAGTTGGGATCGTCGGCCGCACGGGGGCTGGAAAGTCTTCCATTCTGATGGCCTTGTTGAGGCTGGCTGAGAACGACGGGTTGATTGCCATTGATGACATTGATACTCAGAGTGTTAACCTGGAAAGGCTGCGCTCGAGCATATCCATTATCCCTCAGGAGCCGGTGCTGTTTTGCGGGACGTTGCGCAAGAATCTTGATCCTTTTGATGAGTATTCGGATGAAGTAAGCAGGAGGGTGATGATATCTTTCAGAGCTTAGCAGCAGTTGCTTTGCAGGTGCTCTGGAAGTCTTTGGAGGAAATCGAGCTGAAGGACGCGGTAGCTGACCTGCCCCAAGGCTTGGAAAGTCACATATCTGAAGGCGGCACCAACTTCAGCGTCGGTCAGCGACAGCTACTGTGCCTGGCCAGAGCCATAGTTCGCAACAACAAAATTCTGGTGCTGGACGAAGCGACAGCTAATGTGGATCCCCAAACCGACGCCCTGATCCAGCTGACCATTCGCAAAAAGTTTTCCAACTGCACTGTGCTGACGATAGCGCACAGACTGCACACGGTGATGGATTCGGATAAAGTCCTCGTGATGGACGCAGGAAACGTTGTGGAATTTGGAACGCCCTTTGAGCTGCTCCAGAATGTGGATGGTGTCTTTACGGGGATGGTGGAGCAAACTGGACGCGCCATGGCTGGAAATTTGCATTTCATCGCCCAAAAGGTGAGTTCAGTTAGATGCGGACTGAAAAGCGGATGCGCTGTGTAGCGTCGCCTTCGCTATTCTGTTCTGAAGGGGACACCATTTCGCTTTTTGGGCCCGCCAAAACTTCGACAGTATAGAAACTTGTTGAAAGTTGTTTGGTCTATTGGTAATCTGCTCCTTATCATGTGGAGGAATTGCAGAAGATTAATTTTTTTTCGTTGTTTCAGACCTATGAAAACCAAGAAGTCGCCTCCATTAATGGATTTTAAGAGATTTCTATTGTTTTGTTCAGTTGTTAGACTTCACCATATTCCCCAATAAAGCGCCATGCTGCGATTCCCTTGCTTTCTTAATGAGATGATTAAAGTCAGTTTTTGCTTTTTCTTCATGCCTTTCAGCGTTAGTAGGTGGGTATATATTAGTATCGCATGTGCCTCAGGGGAGGATCCAGCTTTAGTCAGGGTGGCGGGGTTACGTAGAAAAAATACAGTCTTCTGTTGTTTATGAAATTAGAAAAATGATCGTCGTTTTGTGCAAGGGTGGCGCAAGATTATTGCAAAGTTTCATGTTTTCCGTCTCGTTTTGCATGTTTCTCGGAAGCGAAATGAGCAAGAACGCTCGTTTTTACATCATTCCAGAGATAACTAAATGGCCTTTATTCGAAGTTTCTCAA